CTAACTTGTCAATAATTGTCAATAACGGGAGGCAAAAGAAACCACGGCTAATAATGGGGACATAAGATGCTCCACCTTGCATACTCGCATGCAGCGCAAATCAACTTCTGAACCGCGTATGCCAAGTGGTGTCATGAACGGAAGCTCGCTCTGAAATTGGCTGGAGAAATCGGCGCCTTCATGTAGCGACCTCAAGCTTTCACCGAAAGTGTTTCATGGTGTAAGTCCATGTTGCAAAACTCTAAGACATCTCAATTCACGTGAAAAGAGATTGAGAATTGCAACAACGAAGAACACCGTCAATCCAGAGTTCCACACTGTAAAAAATCTACGTGAATTTAACGTGTCTTTCCCTCGTCAAAAAAGACGGGCACGCTCATTGTTTCAAAACACGAGGTTGCCCTCATTATTTACCTGCCGCGAGAGCCGATCCTTCCAGAAAAGCCGAAATACCAGCAGTGTCAGCATGCGCTGATGAATAAAAATAGCCTTGGCGACAAGGGAGAAATTGCTTGAGATAGTTTCGGTTTTACACTGAAAAAGGAAACCGAAAGTTTAGATAAAACCTAAGATGGACTAAACGGTTTGTTAATTTTTTATGAATATAATAAAGTGACATTATTATTATTAATATATTGATTTGCTTAGTTTTGTCTTTAAAAAAAAAGAAAAGACTTTTTGAAAACTGCGCAAGACCATCGCTATTGCAATCAGCTTCCGTTCGGCCGCTGTTGGAGTTCCGGGGGGGTTCGAGCATCGCTTCCTTTTTACGTTGTAGCCGTTTTAGCGGATATTTTAGATAGCTTACTTACGAATATCGTGTTCAATATTAGCAAGTGATTACAGAGAGCTGTGACACGCAGCGTCGCAAGTGGCGGACAGTCACGGCCGACTGGTGCAAGCGAAGGTGAGGAAGTTTCTTTTGTTTCTGCGAAGTGCACCGCTGTTTCAAACTTTGTCGTGTACCGTGTGCTTGCTAAGCTATGCTTGACTCTCACTATGCTCTACCCGGTTGTATTTCATTATTTGAGAAGAGCGTATTTTCAAAATTTATGGCTCTCTCCGCAGAGTGAGAATGATTCGCGTGCGGCGGAACCGAGGGCCAGCCGAGGGCCTGTCCTGGGCGCCGTCCCCACGATGGTCGCCCGACGACGCTTTTGCGGAGCGTTCAAGTACAGTCTGACGGCAGTTCAAGCAATCACAGGTCATGCTAGTTCTGACGTGTGGTCCGAACAGTCTCTCGCCAACGATTTGTTTCATAAAGCGGGAGCGAAAAAAACGTTACAAGAGCGAGCAGCATGATTTCTTGCCCGTGCTGATGCCTGTGCCATAGAGACGGACGATCTCTTTGCGCATGCCCAAGCGGCACGCTTTCCAAGTTTGCGATTGTGTGTTGTGAATAAAGTGAGTTTGGATGTCACGTTTTTTAGTGGCGGCGAAAGCCGCTACAAAAGGCAGAACAGTTAGAAAAAGCAAAAGCATGAAAAAAATGTTAAAAGACTACCAACGTACCAACTCGCCCAGTTATTCTTTGTCAAAGAATTACTGGGGACATGCAATAGTTCATAGCAACCATTTATGTCCGACCCATTGTATTGAATCTTTTCTCTAAAAGCTCAAAATTGTATAAAAAAGTGCTTATCATAAATTAAGCCGCACCACTGAATGTGTAATAGGGTATGACTTGTATGTGTGTCCTCAGCAAAAGAAAAGGAGGCATTAAAAAAAGGCCAATCATTTTGTTTGCTTTGTGTTAGAGCTTCTTTCAGGTACACGCAAAATGTGGGTGTCTACATCTAAAAAAGTGTGATTGACATTCCCCGCAGGGCTGCAGGCCTGACTCAGTTGGGCTAGCAGGTTGCAACCTATGGGAACCTGCAGGGACCCGCATCACTAGAGTAAAAGTGACGTCCGCCCACTGATCTCTGTTATGGGTGGCTGGAAGATGCATAGAGCAGACAGGTATGAAGCCACCGTAAGTAAGCGGCCTGTCTTGATAGCGAGCGCTTGACAGGCTTTTCAACTCTCCCGCGTGCTGGTTCGAACAGCGTTCAGGGTGCTGGGTTTTTTGTTGTCATCCCAAGAGAGCCTGCTTGTTGCGGAGTAACAGTGCATTCGGACCCGAGAAGTCTCCTGGGAAGCCATTCTACGTGAACATTTTTAGATTTTATTTTATCAAAAAGTGTGTATGTCCCCCTATTCTTATTATTTCATCCAGAACTAATTTCTGCAGCGCACTGGCACATGCGGAGAAGCGCACTGAACAAAGCAAATCTATCGCAATGGTGACTCTGCGAGCGCTTTGAAAGGTTTGAATGGCATAAACGACTTTGTTTGCGCGAGCTCAATATTTCATTCATTTTATAAAGTGTTAGTGTTGAGAATACTTTCCAGGTACAAAATTTTGCAATCAGGAGTAATGTTCAATGCATTCGTATCCATGGGGTAACTTTTTTGCATGACCAATTTTGAGCAATTTCGATAAAGTCGCAAAAACTAAGCCTTCGCGAAAATTAGGTCCTTTACAGTAGCACAATTAATCTTGAAACCAATATTGAATACCGTATTATATTAAATTTCTCAAATACAATTTTATTATTAGCACACACAGCCCTGAAATTGGCCATGCTCAGATGTTTTCGTTGTGGCCTTCATCAATCCATGTGCTTAAAATGTAGAAGCTGCAACCTTGAATCTTTTCTTTTTTTTTTCTTTATGGTGCCTTAGGTTTGAGGTAATAAATGTTGTGCCCTGCAGTGAACAGCACTACCTGTAGCATAGCCCTGGGCATGCAAACAAGGCACACCACCAATGTCTGAAATATCAAGCTTTCAGAAACGATACTGTCCGATTTTCCTTACCCTTTTGTCAGGATGAAGTTGTTACCATCTTGCCTTCCTCACATAGTGGTCCTTTGAGCGAATTATGTGATGTTATATCATCGAGTGGCATCGAGTAATTTCCTCTTCTCTTTTGACGCAGGATGTAATGGCATTCCATCATCACAAAGGAGAGTGTACAGTGAGGCAGGTTTGGAAACTTGAATAAAGTGATAAGTAGGATTTCAATTTCTGTCTTATCAATTACGCGAAGAACACTGATCATAATGTTTGTATGCTACACATACATACTTTCGGTTGAAAAATGCAATGCACCTCTTCTTTATGGCTTTTCTCACACAGTTTCAGAAGACGCCGGTACGTCATTCTCACGAGAAATAGAGCTGCCAAAGATTTCCTCGTTCATTTCCTGACTCATTTTTAAGAGTGCATCTCCCGATGGTGGCGCCTCTGCATTATCATCATCAATTAAGTTGTCAACGGCGTTTCTTAACGTTTCACGAGAATGGAGCTATAATATATGACATGAAATTTCACAGGTTGGAATACAGCCGTTCAAAGAAACAGCTTTGAAAAGTCAGCTTTTTAATGCAGGCGCCGATTTTTCTGGCCAATTTGAGACCGTTCTTTCCATTCAGAACGCCCGACATACACGGCGTCCCAGATAACTTGCACCATACTTAAAAAAACACCTGAGGGCTCTGCAGAAGTGAAATCAACTGTCGTTAGCAAGCGTCTTGAGAAAGTGCACAGATTTGTTTAATGCGCCTGGTTATGTAAATAACTAAGATTATTGAGCTAACCTTTCAAATATTTTTTTAAGGGCCAAGATGTCAATTGTAAAGTTGCAGGGCGCATAATACGTTTTCGTGCTTTTTTCCGGCCTTCAAAGAACGCACATTCGCGGCGCGCTCGCACGCCTTGATAGGGGAAGCGAGTTTTCACGGGGTATTTTTTTTTTTTTGTATTTCGCGGGCGTTTTTTTGGAGGCTAGGAAAAAGGAGCATGCAAAGTGCACCTTGTTGAAAATGGTTTAATTGGGTGTTTCTTAATGCGCTTTACAACTTTCCATTTCACATCTCGGCTTTTAAACGAAGTTTTCATAAGTTAGCTTGTTACTCTTAATTAAATAAATAGGCGCACTAAAACAATTTCGTGCACTTTCGCAAGAGACTTTCTAACAGCGTACAGTTGGTTTCACTCCTGCAGAACGCTCCTTTTTTTTTTTTTTAAGTTTTGTGCAAGTTATCCGGGAAACTCCGCATATATGTACTGGTAGTGTACATTTGGTACACTAAAAGCATAGATGTAGTGTACTAAACGTGCACTTATGGTATGCTAAAAGTACACTCGAGGTGCACTTATGGTGTACTGCACATGTACTTGGGGTGTACTAAAGGTATACTATTTTGTTTCATAAAAGTGTGAAACTAGTACGATTTCAGTACATACCCTAATTTCACTACTAGTATACTTTCAGTATACTGATTTTGAACGACTTTTCGCTAAGGGTATCGCGCGTGTCTGCTGGCTATACATGGCTCGCATGTGACGTCACACCCCCCCAATGCTGGTGGTCATTCTCACTCGTTTTTGCCGAGTAAAAGAAAATGTATGGTGCGCATTGTAAGCCCCAGAAGACACGCGCTGCGTAGAAAGGCGTTCACAATGGCCGTCAATGGGATGTTAGTGTAAGTCATATATAGCCTCTGGGCCGTGAGGATATTTGGCGTCACCGGTGGGATCCTGGTGTGGTTGGTGTTGGCTGTTGGCTTGGATAAAATGTAGGACCGACAGCCTCTGTCATCGGCCCGGAGGTTTATGTCCTCGCAGCAGTTACTCATTTTTACATTAGAAGAAAAGAAAGGCGGAGAGCCGTTGATGCTGCTGACATTGGTTGACGCTGGAAAGCCTTTTTCCCGTGTCTTCAAGAGGGTTTCTGTAGAACGATGGTGTTGAGGACCATCGCGGTATGTGCACCGTGAATCGAGCTCGGCCTCGTCGTGGTAAAAACGTAACCGTGCTCGATTTTGCAATGTGAGGCTTTACACGTCTGCTCCCAGTCGTCATCCTTTATTTTACCCGTCATTTTATTATAATACAATTCACACAACCACTTAATTATAGACGTGAACTGATGAGAGCATGACGAAGCAAATATACTTCTAAAATACTAGTTTACTGGTACAAACAACTAAGCATTTCTTTCTAGATGGAGATCTCGCTATCTACTATTAGACTTCGTATTTGCAGTCTTCTTTCCATACTTCAGATGTTGTGTTGGGGCAGTTACTTATGTTTAGGTAGACGTCCTTGCAATCTTGGGGAACAAAAGGAGGGGGTCCCGCTGAAAACAATTCGCAGCCTGGAAAACAGATAAAGAAAAATTTTGATACGTTGATACTTCGACTGGGAACAGCGTAGAAACACATTGGTCGATGTAATGATAGTTAAATGCCATTAGAGCTTTAACTAACATACCAATTTTTTGCTGGCAGTAAAAGAGGTTCGTAGATTTCTTTTAAAGTTATTCGCATGGTTAAAAAAAGAGTTTGATTATTTGCAGCAAGCAATTAGTAGATATAATTCAAGTACTGAAGGGCATCACTTCAGTGGCTACGAACTCATAGTGTGGTACTGAGTAAGGAGAGAGGCAAGCCTGTTTAAAAATCGTCAGAACCCCGCTTTGCGTAAAATCGTATATTAAAACAAAAAATAAAATTTCTATGACGCAGTCTGTTAGGGTAAAAACGTTTGTCGAGAAATTTTATTGAGACATTTGGGCACTGCCATGATGTTAATTTCTCACTAACTTCCTTGCGTTTTGTGGTCTGCTGCCATTAACCGAAACACTTTTACAGGCTCATAGTTGCGGGGAGCGACCTCGATAGCGTTGCTGCTTCCAATTTGGATGGCCATTTCTCGATTTATGCCAGCTGAGGTTAGTTTTATACTTCTGCGGCAATTCTGGGAGGGTACAGTCCTATGGAAATAAAATCCAATGTTAGCGTAGAATGGTCCCTATTGCCGGGCGTGTATAGACCGTTCCAATAATCGCCTTTTGTTCGTTGTCATCTTTGCCGCGTGGTGATAAGCGGCGGTAAGGTATGTGAAAAAGTCGTAAGTGGCTATACGAAAGGCATGTGTCTCATGACTTGTCTTCGGTGCACCGGAACCCGAAGAGGAGCACGCCAATCAACGGGCCACTTAAAGAGCGCGCAAAAAAACGCACGATGACTACGCAGCCAAGCGTACGTTGTCATAGGTTAAGATTGGGGGGAAAAAAGAGAAAGGAAAAGAGCTTGCGGGCACATTCGGGCGTTAAACGAAAGCACGAGGTCAGTAAAGAGTAGACGAACTTGTACATCATACAGGCAGTCATTTTCCCTTTGTAGCAGTCACAGATTGGACGGTTCCCCTTTTTTATTTGGAGAGGCAAAAGTTTGCCATATTATGCGCATGGTTTTTGCTTAAATGTGAACATTTCACATAATTGTAAAAGTCGAAAAGTTTACTATCATGTTCACCTTGTCAAATGCCAAGATACATAGCAAAATAAAGTTCCTTGGAAAGTACAGGATAATATTGTTAAATCTAATCTTGCCTATGTTAATGCATGCTACATAAAAAAAGAAACCGCGACATGGTAGTGCAATTTATCGGCCAATTTAAAAAAAAAAAAAATTGTCTTTACACCAAATGTGTTTTTGTCACAAGGCCAAGAGAAACTTTTATATTGAGAAACGCCTGGAGACGAGAAAAAAGACCCTCTTAGTTCTCGGCTTTTGTGATCTGCTTTAAAAGCTTCGAAGCGCATGAAGAGCAACACAATTTTGTTATTGTGCACGGTCCTTGCCCGAGCCTGTGTGGGTAAATGTGTATTTTATTTATTTGTTTAGGGTAAACTTACGCTGTAATTTGTATTATTTTTTTACAAAGCAGGCGGTCAGCATATTTGGAGTGTCAGCCTTTCTGTGTGTGTTTATTAGTTAATAAACAGCCACAAATGAATAAAACATACTTAGAACGCCCAACCAGTATTAGTTGAAAGTAAAAACACATACAGAAAAGTATCTTTATATAACCAAAAGATGCACCCTGACTTCGGCTGTTTTCAAACTGTTGTCACAGATGACCCAATCTTTGAACGTTCATAAAGGCGTGCACCCGGAACCTCTTCTGTTCGCAAATACCGGGCACTAGCATTCAGTTGATCCGTTGGTACATAATATTAAAATGGTAGAACAGCACTAAAAGCTAAAAGGACGGAGGACACAAGTAAGAGTACTACAGACACAAAGGCGTTGTGTGTACCATCGGGGAAAAATGAAAAGGGAACAGAGGAGCGCGTGGCTCGCGTAGGGTTCCTGTATAGCTACCTATACAGGAACTCTAGGGTCACGGTACAGGCTGCGCCGCCTGGAAGTGAGCCTAGGGGCGAGGGCCTCCTCCGATGTGTTTACGCCTTTCGCTCGGCTCTCCCCAGGCTTCGGCAGTGCGCCTCTTTGTGCGCTGAAAGCTGGCTCGCGCGCTTTAGCTGGTACTAGCGGCGAGCTTCCTCGCGCCGCACGTGCCGAGCGAGCAAAGTTACCTGTGATAGCTTTCAGCACACTGTTACTCGGGCCGTGTTCCAAAATGTACTCGATCTTACTCCAGGGTAAGAGTTTTGTACCTTGGCGTTCCAAAACCTACCCGCGTCCAGCGTTCTTCAATCTGTGTTGCCACGTGACACGACCCGCCGGAGTAACTCGGGTTCATTTGGGTAAGATTTGGAACACAGCCTCGATGTCATCGAGTGCGCGTGCAATTGTACTGGATTTTTATAGACGATTGCAAACTGGGCGACTGGCCGCCGCCATGTCTCTGCTCGAGCAGACACGCCCGTGCGATTACGAGCTTGCCAAAGCTACGTTCACCCGCGCGTTGCACGCGCTTGCATGCATGGGGCACCACTTGTGGCGCCATGCTTGCAATTGTCTATACAACCGCGTTCGCAACGGCTTTCCGAACGCGGATCCGCTTCCAGTGTGAATGAGCGGTTAAGGCCGGTTCAGACACTTGCGTTTGAGTGCGTTTGACTGCGTTGCGGCGAGAACCGAAAACGAGTCACCAGCACATCTGTGCTTCGTACGAAGCGTGGAATCCAATTCAAGGAATCATCTTGGCACGCGATATAAGCAGCAGGGATGTCCTGGTTTCTCGCTGCCGCAACGCAGTCAAACGCAGTCAAACGCAACTGTCTGAACCAGGCTTTAGAGGCGCAATGCCGAATCTTGGAGAGCGCAGAGCGAAGGGCGTAAACACATCGGAGGCCACAGACCCTCGCCCCTAGCCAGGCGGCGCAGCCTACCGGCCTGTAGCGGGAGCCACGCGCTCCTTTTTTTTTGCATTTCATTTTTCCCCGATAGCACATGTTTCTTTTTCTTTTTTTTGTTTTAGAGTTTTTTTCCCATTCTATTACTCGCCATCGCTCTAATTGCAACTGCGTTCAATCAGCTTTTGTGAGGCGAGCGTTCGCATTCATTCGAATGCTTGAGCAATACAAATGTAAAATAAATTATTAGAAAGAACAAAAGAACAGGACATACCTTCCGAACAGAAAAAAAACGAGGCAAAGTGTACAACGAAAATCCTTACGAATATTTCTTCGTATTTATCGGCGAGTACTGGGAATGGTGCTCTTCCTTTTTGAGTCGGTAGCCGGTTTATCGTAAGCCATACTTTTTCTACTCGTGGTGACAGAATAATATTTATGTTAGCTCCTTAAAAATTACGTTTTTGCTTTATCGTCTTCAGGGTCCTCACAAAGGACGCATTTTGTTGAAATTAATTTTGGAAACAAAATTAAAGTGGAGTAGCCGGTGGTATTTTTAATCGTGCGTCAAACTACCCACGATCTTTAGCCTTCGCTTTTTCCCCTTGGAGGATCTATTTGTCTAGACCTCGAGGTCTTTGGCGAAAGACCACGCAATAATTACAAGATAACCCTATAGTTTTATAAAATTCCTTAGCACGTGCAAGCTAACGAAAACAAATTTATTGTTAAGACTGATATTCACCCGATTAACCTTAAATTATAGTATATCTCGCATTTCACTTTCAATATATTTTTCAGTCCTTAATTTCTAAATAAATATTACGCACTGGGGGCGAGGGGGGTATTTTTTGTTAGTAAAGGGTACCATGATAGGTATTACATGTTTTCTTACCTATCCCATTTTGTTGATGCGTTGCGCGCAGAACAGCACATGTCTTGTTTGAGTTGATATACATAAATTTATACAACGGCGGCTGAGGAGCTGGTTAAAATAAAAAGAATAATAATTATTATTAAAGAGTGCATCAACCTAATAACTTTGAGTGGAGGTTTAGCCGAACAAACAAGTAAACTGTATTTGGTTGCTCGGGGCTATTTGAACGCAGTGGAATGCATAAAATTAACAAATACAAATGGCAAACTGTTTATTATACACATTGTTTAGATCTTTAGGTTGTGCCTACACTGAATGCTGTGACGCATGGCGTAGTTTTAGAGCGCAGCTCTTAGGCTGCCCGTTTCCGGCTTGAGCGGCGTAGCCGCGCGTTGCATGCAACGCGCGTTGCATGCAACACGCATGCAAAACTTTCATGCAACACATTGCATGCAAGCGGCGTAACTCCACGTTGCATGAAAACCGCGCGTTGCATGCAACTTGTGCGTTGCATGCAACGCACATGCAACGTGCGTGCAAAACTTGCATGCAATGCGTTGCATGCAAACGGCGTAACCGCGCGTTGCATGCAACGACATAACCGCGCGTCGCATTATGGGTAATTTCCCATAATGACGTCATGAGGGTTACCCTCGTGAGGGTTACGAGGGTTACTCTGACGAGGGTTACGGGGTTTACCCTCACGAGGATCACGAGCGTTACCCTCACGAGGGTTGCGAGGGTTAGTTACCTTCAAAAGGGTTACCCTCATGAGGGTCACAAAGGTTACTCTAACGAGTGTCACGAGGGTTACCCTCACGCGGGTCACGAGGGTTATGAGAGATACCCTCACGTAACCCTGCTTGAGGTCACGTGACCCCTCCCTGAGGTCACGAGACCCCCCCCCCCCCCCCCCTTGAGGTCACGAGACCCCCTTGAGATCACGTGACCTAAGGGAGTCACCTATCCCTCAGTACCCTTCCATCCTCCTCCTCAAGAGCTGCGCTCTAATGCGGCGTTACTGGGAGTTGTAAACGGCTTTAATTTTTTCTCCTCTTCGTCTATCTAGAAACCTCTCACAGCGGAAAGCGAAAAAGTCTAAAGACGGACATTTAATTGTACTCCACTGCCTCGTTTAAGACCGACAGTTGGCCACAGTAACGCGTACACTAACTGACTTGAATTTGCTTAAGTTAATTTGTGAGGCAAACAGTTTTCGAAAACACTTAAATTATGTTTGGCCTTTATGTGAATGGGGCGCATTGTGCAACATCGACGCTCCTCTAGCTCAAAGTACCTCAAGTAGTGCCAAAAATATTTAAACTCTTCTATGAAATTTCTTCAGTGAAAGAAAAGAAAAAAATCAACCAATATACACTATGTATGTGACAAAGAAACGTGAAGAAAGAATGATAAAATTTTCTGAAAGTGTGCTTCACAGTGGTCTTATTCTTATTACCTCTTCTACAGTAGCATTTCGTAGTGCTCTGAACGAGAAAATCCTCGAAGGTTAGCATCTATAATTTGTCTCAACCTACGATGGACAAGGGGCCAAAGCCACGGGCCGCCAAGTCCAGTCACGTTCCACACTATACTATGGCACGCTTAACATTGATTAGGGGGGGGGGGGGGGGGGGACGAATAACGCTCGAATCCAAAAGCGCCGCATCATTTCTATAGGTTCGACGCTGCGAGGAGCCTATATGTCGTGGCTTTCTTTGCGATGTAAACTTGTGGAGTCACTCAGTGCTCTTCGATTCGAACCACTGTCCACCCTTCCCCTCATCAGTGATCCGAGACGCGGGTACCGATTTGTGCATCGAAGCAAAATACCGCACAATTTGTAGGTGGCTCGTGATTGAATCTGGCGGTCCGTAACTTTTGCCTTTAGTCCATCGTAGGGTGAGACGAAGTATAGGATGAAACGTATTCCGCTTCGCACTGTTTACAATGTTTCCCATCATAATCGGCACTAAATAAATGTGTGCAGGTGAAAACTTGAGTTGTCTTTGCCAAAAACGAGATACAAACTCTTGCCAGTTGATTGAAGTAATATTCACTGGCAGTGTGAAGAACGCAGGGCGCGGAGATTCCCGAGCAAATAGTTATCGCACCTTATCCAATAAGATCGCACCGTTAGGCGATAAAAAAGCCAAACAACGAATCAGGAAGCAAGAAGCGGGACCATAATGGGATATGACCTGCGTTTTTAAAGCCGCCATATACGAGAACGCGCAAAGGGCAAGAACGAAAGAAAATGCCTCGACATTCACGTTGGGTTTCACTGTCGAGCAACGAAAAGACCCAAAGTTGCAGAAGCCTTTTCGCAGACTCAACAGAACCGACCTCAAACGCCACAAACAGCGACATGCTGAACTCTACACAATACGATCTCCGTCGCAACTATGGTTAAGAAGGCCTGGTTCTGTTATATGTTGTACACAATAATCTACGAACCGACAGTCAATGTGTCCTCCATGGCGATCCCACTCCTATACTTCGTTTCATCTTACGTCCAGGCGCAGCGGACGCAATGAGCTAATGGGACCAATCAAATAGCGTCAAAAACGCAAGTCATTGGGCCTTCTTTGTTTATGATTGGTTACGCGATGATAGAACACGTACAACATGACGAACACCATGATGGCGCGCTTTTGACGCTGTCTGATGGCTGTCGGATTGCTCGTTGCGTCGTCGGCTGCGTCCGGACTTAAGCTGAAGAGGTCCCGGAAAAGGTGAAAAGGTCCCGGAACTCTAACAACCGGTAGATGTTGCAGGCACGTAGCCAGGGGGGGGGGGGGGGGGGGAGGGGGGGCATGGGGCCCGGGCCTCCCCCCCCCCCCCCCCCCCCCGAAATCTTTCATTTTGCTGGGACCTCCTCTGCCCCCTCCTCCTCATACAGCATTTTGTCATGGACGGGCACCCCCCCGAAACAAAATTCTGGCTACGTGCCTGATATGTTGTAATATGGACAGTCAACAAAATGGCGAGTCTTGGATTTTCTTTCGATCTTATTAGTAGGAGAGTCGTAATCTACGTCGTAAGTTCGACGTGGACGCGTAGACCCGCCCTGCAGGGCGCGCCAAGGGCAGGAAATCGCGGGCATGGAGAGAAAAACTAACAAAAATGACGTCCCTTGTTCTCCACTAAGCTGGCTGGGGATGTCGACGATGAGGGCACGACGCCCTGGAAAGATAACAGGCCGCAGAAAGAATCGCCGCATGCCCAGGGGAAATTGCTGCGCCTATTTTTCAAAGCAAATGCGGTTTACAGTTACCTCTACTTGACTAAAGGGCGATAACTGAATTCACGGGACACAAAGCTATAGCAGTCAGCTCCTAACTAAAATTTTTTAAAAGTGCTTCAGCTTCCCTTTAGGTTGAAATGAAATTAAATTCAGTTTCGAACCCTTTCATAAAAAATAAAATAAACTCCTTTTGATGCGAAAAATAAATATAATTCAGAAAGTTTGCTTTGTCTACTGATGCGTCACTAGCCTTTGCTTTGTGAGGTAACACCAAGATTTTTTTAGTAACGCGAAAGCATGAACTGCCCCATTGGGCCTATTAAAATTGAGACAACGTTCACATTGTTTGTGAATACTTACTTGAAATGTTGAAGAGAAGCGCATTATCCTCAGTGTGCGGCTCAGAGGTAAACGGACGAACGGTTATGTTCAGGATGGATCTAGAATTTCGGAATAAGATATCTACGTCGTGTTTTCACTTTCAAAAATCCTAACAAAGGCTTCCGCTTACATTTCCCTTGAGCCGTTAAAGCGGTGCCCGAGAAGAGCCTGATACGTGCCGTTACGAAGCCCCGACGTAACGTTCACGGATACGCATTCACTTGGAGGTTGTGGCGTATATGTGCGATTCAACATGTAGTACGTGGAATTGCTGCACAGGAACTGCAAATAAATATTAGAAGCTCACACACACGTAAAGATAATCTCACGCACACCATCACGCAGCATGCTCGCCAACTTGTTTTTTCATGCAGAACATCTATATGAAAGAGTGCATATCCAATATCTGAGTGAAGCGTGCGTGCGCAGGCGATCTGGTAAAACGTTGACAGAATCCGAGACAAAATAGGAAAATGAAAATACACAAATGAGATGGGCAACACACAACGTCTCCGATACAACGTCTCGAAGACATTACGTGTTGTCTCTTGCTTTTATGTGTATTTCTTTACCCTGCTTGTCTCTCTCAGGTTAAAGTTACTTCATATCCTGTCAAATAACCATGATGTAGATTTTGAAGGCCCTCGGACCGAACGCTTTTAGAGTATCGGCAAATTAGTTTGTGATCCTGTCTCTGCGCTTGCTCCATACTTGCACTGGTTCGCTGATGCCGAGAAAGGCCTTTGATTGGAAGGCAAGTATTGCTTCAGCGTATCAGCTCCTGACTAATAATATTTGTTCATTCCGCGTTAACAGTACATTCAAAGCAATGGGTACCCGTGCGCTCGCTCACGCTCAGGGCAATTGAAAGCTATACTTTCCACATTCTTCACTCTTCTTTAGTGAATATTTGTTGGTGGGTTATTGTCCGTTGGGAGACTACATGCAGTTAGTGTAAAACATTGGAGTTTGGCGCTGAGCTGAACAAACAGAGCGCCGTCGGGTAATCAATATGAACTCCTCGACAGCCTTATAGGAAAATATGCGATAATTCTGCTTCTTATTGTTATCCGCCTGTGTGGGTTAAAGGCGAAGCGCCGACCTACGGATGCACCCAAATGTGGCTATAGTTCGAATCCCGACTGCGCTGCCCGCGATGTGACGGAAGCTTATCGCGGAGAAGGCGCCGTGCAAATTAGATTCGGCTGCACGTCAAAAGATTCACAAGCAGCCGAAATTAATCCTCAGTCTTCAGCTGGGGTGTGCCAGGTGCTCTTCGTTTTTTGGCAAGTGAAACCCGCCGATTTTATTTCATTTGTGTTTTATTGTTCATACATACAGTGGCGAGCGATATGAGCTGGAATGCGCGAGGGGAAACCAAGCAGTACAGCTCATTCTGTCCAGCGGGCACCGAGCTACGGGGCGGAGTGGCAGCGGCGGTGTTCCCATTCGTGGAAACGCGCCCCCGTCCGCGGTATTTCCCTCCTCCACCGCGCCCATACCGTGCGCGCCAAGGAGGCGCTTGTCGCCGCGGTAACGTTCTCCTATGCGCCTCGGCCACGAGGGCGAGCGCGTCTCTGATAACATGCACATCGCTCTCAAAAGGGATTGTCGTTATCATGCGCGTGCTGGCGGAGGCGGAGGAGGGAGATATCGTGCGGGGGTGCGTCCATGAATCTGAAGACAGCCGCTGCTGCTTCGGTGCTTGACTCGCTGCCCGCTAGACCGCGTGGGCTCTGCCTGGTCATCGCTGCAGCAGTCCACTTCATATAGCTGGGCACTGGGGGCGGGTATTTTTTTTTGAGAATTAAACACTAGGGCTGGGAAATTGGTCGATTCATTTAACGATTAATCAGATACTGATTTAATCGCAATTAATCTTTTTTCATTTTTAGCCCTTACAAAAATTATCACTGAGTTTCAATTGAGCTTCTAATGTACTTCACAAGAATACATTAGAAACTCAATTGAAACTCATTTCTAATTTTTGTAAGGGAATCGGTAAAATTTTGGCGAACCTAAAGTAATAAGAGTTTAAAGCTTTAGCTACGCAGACGTGGACGAGTACACCTGTATGAAGGGCAAGCTTTAGGTAAACTCGTAGACTCAAGTAAACTGTGGAGGCGACATTCCAGACAATTGCAGAAAGTTACACGTGTCCTGTCCGCTTCAACGCTCTTCGAGTGTCCGTTTAGCGCAGCACAGACAATTGTGAAGAATCAAGGGAGGCCACTCTTGGCGGGGGATATCAACGAGGCCCTTTGCCTTTTGCGGCTGAAGTAATGATCTGTGAACGTCAGTGTCTTCGAACTGTTCTGAACTACACATAAAGGTTGATTCGAAATCCAAATTTAACATCGCGCCGTTTGTCACACACTCAACAATGGCACACATTGTTTTGTGCTTTTATTATCTGTGAAACATGGAAATGAATGAGACCGGTTAATCTTTTCATTTATGAATTAAAAGGTGGCGGTTAATCGGGTTGAAAGTTTGATTCGACGCCCAGCCCTATTAAACTCTCAGATCATGCCTTTTGTCAGCCCCGCATGAATAGAGAAGTAAAAACACCAATCCAGGTGATGTCTCAGTATTGTACGTAATTACCATGTTTACTTTACTTTGGAATAAACTTTGGTGAAATAATGGTTGCTTTCTCTTATTTGTGTCATCATGAATAACGCATCAATTCATCACCATTTTTTGTTTGATAAAAAAACTTCGGTAAATATTGCAGATAGAGCGAGATTCCCATACAAGCATCGTCAAGGATAATAACTCAAGAACCTTTCTTTGAAGCTTCCGGGGCCTGAGTAGAGCTCTCCGCATCTAAACGCTGTTTCACAAATTTGAGTCTGCGTGTGGCCGATTGATTTGAAACCGGTTGTGACTGCTCAAAACACAATAACACTCTTGCGCCATCAATCTATCTGGTAGCGCAGGGACATCCACGATCTGTGTCTATATCTAGCACATTTTTGGGAATCACCGTCACCTTCAAGTAATTTTTGCCAATGTTATAGGCAATCATTTCTCATCTATAGTGCGTAAATGTAATGTCGCAAATACTGCAAAACCTTCGGTCAGTAGTTATACGCAGATCGCAAGCCTTCCCTGAGTATCTTATAGATTGCTGTAGTGCAAGTTCTCTCGACGGAAGCGGTGAAAAGCATATGTTTAACCCCGGGGCGTTTTAGTAACTGGTAGCATTACTATGTTTGTCTTTCCAGGATGAAATAAAAGAAGAAAAAATAAATGCCTATTTGTTCAAGCTGAACACAGATCCCTAAGCTTTAGGGGCATGGTTGTAGAGGAGGGGGCGACTGATTAAAGAAGAGTCCAATAAATTCTGAGAAAGACCACCGTTTCTTTCCGATCATTTTATAGCCATGACAAAGAAAATAATCGCAAACAAAAGCGTCTTCGAGGCGCCTCTTTAAATTATTCAAAGTTTGAAGACCACTTAACTGGTATCACAAGCCCCTACGTAATGAACCATAAATTCTAGCTCTCTCTATTTATGTTTCACAGTAATTCACTGTGGTTACAATACATAGGCCAGAATTCGGTTTTTTGCAAGAACTACGAACAGTTTCTTACCCCGGTTGCGTGTTGGTGCTCAAAATTCTTCGGATCATCTTCGTAAGGCGGGTCGATGGGGCTCACAGTGGATGAAAGCTCAAAATGCTGGCTGGTTCCCACGAGGAAGGTTGCTAGTGCAATTGAATAGAGATACATTTTGGTTTTCGAACGAAATTGGTATATCGCCGAGAATCTCAGCCTTTTATACGTTCTTAGAAACCTAAGCTACGTAAAAATGACAGACTGGAAAAAAAAGGAGACGAATAAAAAGAAAGCTAGACAACAGCTTTAATCCATATGGGAACTTTGGTTTTCATAACAATATCGTCAGGGGCACTGCTCGCTAGTGAACGTAGTTGTATTCCCAACCACGCATTAATGAAAACTAAATAATCTAAAAAATGCCTTTAATAAACGGATGTGAACATCCCCGATCCTGGGTTCAAAACGCTCCCACATTATAGCATTTTGTTTTGTACATTTTAAAGAACGCTGTGGCCAAAGGTGATAGTTCGCTGCATTCGGCGGCACGTGGAACGAAAGCGCAGGATGCACACCCCCGCCTCCGCCATCTTAAATGTCAATTTTCCCGTTTTCGACGCCTGTTGGATTTTACACATGCGTGCGTTTTCGTAATCGCGCCACTGTGCAGTGCGCGTTAAAACGACTGTGGTAGTGGTACACTCAGCTGTTTATAATGGCGTTTTTATGGAGGATAGACAATCAATCCTTTTCAGTCTCCCCCTCTGCCTGTTTTGATTCAAATGAGCATCGTGCAATCGCGCATATCTCTGCCCTTACGCCTCCGCGGTTCCAAAGCCATTGGCAGCGCACGTTCTTTTTTGTTTTCGTTCAGAAAAAAAAAAAGGGGGGGGGGGGGGGGGGAGGGATATTTTAGTTAGGACAATTGAGTCAGGCTGCGCATTTTTTTTTAAATCTCAGTATATATAATATTTATTTATCTCTCATCTCTTTCGTATTTCTCTACTGTTTAAACCACAAGACGATATCTGGAAGCGGCAGTCTTTGCGTTCCAGCTATTATTCAAGTCTGCTCTATCATTTTACATTCGAAGTTGCTTCTGTCCAGTTTTACCAAAGACTGTGGTTCGCAGATTTAATAAGCATTCCTCACAATGGTCGACATAAAATATATATATATATATATATATTTAAATACATATATTTTAAATTAAGCGTTTTCGCTATGTGAAAAATCACCTCGACGTGAATCTGCTGAGGTCAACACTGCTCCCTCGCAGCGCTGCTGCGATGAGGTGTATTAACGTGCTTTCCTAGAAGTGATTCTCAGGCCTGGCTGAAAACTCTGCCAGTACGTCGAGCTCAAGTTTGTGCGCAAGTGTAGTTTCCAAGCGTGACATATGCTCAGGGACGTTAATGGAAGCAATTCCTGGCAACAGACTAAACACGACTCTAAAGCGCGAGACACATGCGCGAAAAAACCATCCGATCCGACGTCCGATCCGGCAATACGACCGCCTGATCCGAAAAATTTGGTAGCTTCAGACGTCGGATCGGCGATCCGACGTGCGTCCAACGCGCCAGATAGTTTCGCACGGCGGACGGATTGTCGGATGCGTCCAGCCAATGACAGCACAGCTAGCGCGAACGTCATGATGACATACAGGGTCTGGCGGGACGAACAAGAAAACGGGACGGGCGCCGGGAAGCCGGACGCGTGGATCCCGCTGACCCATTCAAGAAAGATGGCCCCGGCAAAGAATGCACGCGCTAACGAGAACGAGCTTCTAGCTTCGCTCGTGTGAGCTAAACCGTCAATATGGGACCAGAGATCTGTGAACGCGGACCTTCGCTGGAATGCTTGGTTCTCCTGGGCGGAGCCGAACGGATCGTCGTGTCGCATGCAAGGTCGGAAGCAGCAATTCGGAGCGGCGTTCGGACTGTCGGATCGGACGTCGGATCGGATGGATTTTTCGCGCATGTGTCTCGCGCTTAAGGATATTTCTGTCGTAAAACAGAAAATTCTAAAAGTCAGAGCTGAAAAGAAAGTAGTACAAACTAGAAGTCGCATTCAGATCAAATGTGTTTAGGAAATCAGCTACTGCCTATTAGACAAAACCAAACAGCTGAGACTCCTCAGCTTATTGCTCCTGCTTTGCGTGTGGTGAGGTATGGCTCAATGTCATTGGTCAGTCTGAAGATATGGCAGCTTCAGATACTCACTTCTATCATCGCTACAGTAATTTTCGATTAATTCCCGAAGCATCAAGATATCCGCTGTGAAAATGGACAAAACTGCAGATCATTTTGGTGTGTGAAAATTGTGACATTTTTACCGTGCAGGGAAGGTTAATATCTGAGTATTGGAATTGGCGACTGAGTACTGCGGAAGGACGATCTTCATTGTTTTATTCAAATTCCAAACATAAAACATGCCGTGAAAGCAATTAAGAATTGCAAGGATGTCGTAAGAAGATTAGACATCCTAAGGTATACAGTATTTAGGAGACCTCCCTGATGTTCGTGAATGGTCAAAATAGAGATTTCAAGATTTTAATCACTCCGTCTAAAATTAATAAAGATAAATTCAAAGCCAACACTCTGTGCCTACATGCGCCATACCAAATTATGCATTTATTTTGTACTTGCTCAATGATGAAATTGCAAAGCAAGAACTGAAAATGTCTAAGTTTTTTGCAAAGCTGACCTCCGCAGATCCGTGTTGAGGTGTTTCATAAGAGGAAAACGTTCATTCTGATATATATTCATTTTATGTCGGCCGTCATATTGAGACTCTACCAAATCTGGTGACGTGGGTCATTGTTGCAACAGGATGCAAGTTCGAGTGTAAAAACACTGGAGCAGCTAGGGGACTCAAATGCTAGCGACCATGCCAGGTATACCGTTTGTCGATATAATCAGGTTTTAAAAACCGCTAGAATTGAGTCGTTACATTCTTCGGGAGGAAGAAAATGTGACAAACCCGAAAACACAGGCAGGTTGAAAAATACTATATATATGCATATCGTATATTGTATCCCTAAATATTTTAAAAACACTTTTCAACTGAATTCGACTTCTAGTTTGTCCTAATTTATTTCAATTCTGAGTGTTAGAATTATCTGTTGTATACTCCGGAACTCTCTGTGGAGGCGTGTTTAGTCCGCCGCTAGGAAGTCCTTCCTTAGATCTGCCCTAAGGAGGTTTTTGAGATTGCTTAAACTTGGTCACAACTCACTTTGCGGGCTTTAATCATCCTATAAATCCTGGAATCAAAACGAAACATAGCCGATTTCTATATTAAAAAAAAACACACACACACAAAAAAAAACAATCACAGACCTAATGCACTGAGGTCATCTCCGCCGATGGAAGGAGCATTGTTCTGGCAGCCAGTACGATATGGGACCAATAAAAAAGTTGACATTTCGTTGAGATTGCAAACGCTGTTATCAAAAAAAAAATGTGTATGCTTTTGTAGATGATGAAAGCAAATAAGAGTAGTCGAAAAATGTAAATTCTTCGCGTAGATGGAACATAATACTGCACCAATCGTCTCAAAAACGGCGCACAATGTTTTTTGTTTCCTTTTTGTTCTTGTCTTCCGCGGGAGTGACGTGTCCGGTTGTCAGCTCTCGAGCGCGAGCTCGCTGAGTTGAATCGTTGTCCGGGCTGTACGTGCAACGAGCCGTGCGCCATTTTAATATCAATGCGCGGATCCTTCGCTCGCTACAGGCTGACAGTGGTCCTGGTTTCGGAACTTGCTGCTTCCATCGTCGGAGATAACCTCAATTTGTTACAACCTTTGATTGATTTATTAATAGGGAAATCGGCCGGGTATCATCATGATTTAGGCATTTCTAGGATGCTTAGAGCCTGCAGAATGAGTTATCGCCATATTTATACTCCGTTCACCCTTAAGCTGAGACCAGAAGCTCCGCCTTCGGCACGAGCTTTCTGCCCTTGCTAACACAAGTGTGAACGCGCAGGCACGCGCAGCCAAAGGACTGAAGGCGGAGCTTTTAGTTCAGCTTAAGGCGGCTGTCCCACGGCGGCCATCTTGAACAAGCCATTAGTTGAACCACTAGATGGTGACACTCATCCGCGTGGCCAAACAACTGGCTCGTGGGAGTGATGTTCCTCCTTTGCTCTTAATTTCCTTCTTTCTGCTGCTCGCCCGTCCACGTTCAGCGCTCAGCGCGTGCTCTCGCTGACACATGTGGTCACAAACGTGCCAGTGTTGCCAGCAGTGCACGCTTCGCCCTAAAGCGGAGCCCAGGTAGCTAGCTCATCTACCCGAGCGAGAGTGCCGAGTTGGGCATATTTTGTTCTTGATACTGGCTTTAATCCGCGCTGCAGAGTTGGGAAAGCGATTTCATGAGGGGATCAGAAGCCAGTAGCTATCGTTCTAACTATTCAAGTGTTAGAAACCTGTTCAATCAATCAGTAAAGAATGTTATGAAATGATAAAGAGCATATATAAGACACGCCTTGTCAGGAATTCGTGGATCAAAAAGCTTTCGCTCGACATAAACGTTTTAATTAATTTTCGCTGTAAGTCAGAGCGCAGCCGACATAACAATTCAGTGAGGCCAACAAAGCAGAGCCAGAAAACTCTACATCACGGAGCTCGACGTCTTTTAGTGCGTTTGTAGTCAACGATTAAAGCAATCAAGCGCAAACCACGCACCATGGCCTTGCGCTTTTGGTTTGCGTGTTAGTGCTTGTGTCTTTCACTGCATTTTGATATATGATAAAACAAGCAATAGCAGACTCTTTCATCAAAACGGGTGTTCCGAGAAGCGCGTTCTACAACTCAGCATGTTGATGATAGTTTGATTAAACGTGATTACCAATTACCTGATCATATTAATAACCACTCCAATATTGTTGACATAGTACACCAAAGTGGAAGAATCAGCATGTTCAAGGAAAGAGTAAAAGCGTATTTTTTAGCCCCAGTGACCTAAACTTCAAAATTGTGCCACGAGTGGTTAGCAGATTTCAGTGTTTTTGTTATAGTGCTTGTGATATTTTTCATTAATAATTAAGTCCATTGATAATTTGATGTTGAAAAAATGTACAAATGTCTTTCATGTTCCTTTATATATAAATTTGTTTGAATGCAACAGAAATGGAGGATTTTACGTTAGCTGTGACATTGGATGTTAATGATTGTGATCTGAAAA